GAAGCCCGGGCCGCGGTGGCCGCCTCAGGCCCCGACTCTGGGGTGGGCGTGGGGGGATCTTTCGGGACCGAACTCGCCCCAGCCTCCCTCTTTCTGCTCGACTGCAACGCTCCTTTCCCTGCTGCCTTTACATATTCATTCCTTCCAAAAACACACCACATGCATGTTTCTGCCGTGGCCTCAGATCCTCCCCGCGCCGCGTTTTGAGCGTTTACACTCACTACCCAGCTTCGTCTGGGACACCTGCCGGGCTCCTGCCCTCCTGGCCGGTCTGAACGGCACCGGGGAGGCGGCGGGGCGGGCCTGTCCTACCTGCGCCCGAGCACTGCTGAGACAGCATCCCTTCCAGCGCCGCCACGTAGTCCAGCCCCAGCCAGTCGCGGTAGGTGGTTTTCTCCCCGACAGGCACCGCCCGGACGGTGGCATCCTTGAAAAGCAGGTCTTGGCCATGATAGTTGGAGGAGTCGAACATTTTGAACCCATTCTTATTGTGGTCGTCTCCAAACAGGTCCTGGAAGCACCGCAAGCAGACCTGCTTCTCACCTGGGCTCAGGCAGGACCACCCGCCCAGGTGCAGCTTGCTGCAGATTGCTTTGGGCTTCTCACCTGGGCTCAGGCAGGGCCACCCGCCCAGGTGCAGCTTGCTGCAAATTGCTTTACGTAACAGTGACCCAAAGAACAAGTAATTTCAGGGCCCCACGACTCTGACTGGAAGTCATAAGCGTGACAACTGATCGGCCTCTGTCACCCAAGGGGGTGTGGGGACACTAGGCCCACAGGCGCCACTGGAAGAGGTAGGTGTTCACAAGCACTGCAGTGCTCCCGCTCCTGGATGCAGGCCTAAGGCCTGAGATGTTCAGAAAGAAAGACCCAGAAATGAGGGATGGTGTGGGTGCGATTCCTGAGCATTGTGCTAGGCCTGCTCAGCATTTCTTGGCCTTTTCCATAAGGCTTTCTCACTGTCTTACAGCTGTCTCCGCACAAACCGAAACAATTTCGAGAGAGACGTGTGTTCTGCAACCAGCCACAGAATAACAGGTGAGCTGGGCGTGTCTTCACTGACCCACCCGCCCAGGGATGCTGCACTCCTCCACCCTGCTCAGGATCACTGCAATGACCGTTCTGTGGCTACAGCCCTAAAAGAGCTACTAAAAAGACCAGAAGTCGTATGAGAACTTAGGAATACAAATATAAATAAAGGACATCTGGAGAACATGCATGAATGTCTATGTCAGGTGTTAAGTACTGATCAAGGAGGAACAAAGGAGTCAGGTGGCTCTCAGTCTTTTTGGAGGGACTCGCAGATCCTCCTGAAGAGCTGATGAAAGCTGTCAGCCTTCTCCCCAGAAAAATGCACATCCACCCAAGATTCTTCTCCCACATTACTTCAGAGAACTTAGCAACACCCTAGGGAAGCCCAAGGACCCGGAGTATGGCACTCCTGGGATAGAGGGGTTCTGTGGGGGAGATGACAGGAACATGCATAATTTCACAATGTCAAAGTTTAGGAACAGGCCTGGCGAGCCAGCCAGCTCTGGAGTTCTGTGGTGCTGGTGGGTGTGCAGAAGGCAATTTCAGCATAAGTTGGGGGAGGGGGAGTGGTTAGAAACCAGTGGCTCCATTGTCAGACAACCTGGGTTTAAATTCTAGGTGTATTTTGAAAGCACAACCAGTGGGATTTGCTGATGGACTGGATATAGAGCACAAGTGGAAGACCAGAGTAAAAAATGACTCCCAAGGAAATGGAAAAGCTAAAGTTGCTCTTAATTGAAGTGGGGAAGATTGAAGGAGGGACGGGGGTCCAACTTTGGACTTGATCCGTTTGAGATGACTGTTAGAAACACAAATCAAAATGTCAAGTATGTAGTTAAATATGCAAGTTTGGGACTGAAGTCTGAAGATGTAAATTCAGAAGCCATCTGTAGATAGATGGTATTTGATGACTTGGGATTGGATGAGATCAAGGGTCAGCTGTAGACGGGGAAGAGGGCTGAGAACTGAATCCTAGGGCTAATAGGTCAGGGAGATGAGAAGGAATCAGCAAAGAAGACTGAGGAGTGGCCAGAGAGGTGAGCGGAGAGCCAGGGCTGAGGAACTGGGTGCCTGCAGGAGGGAGAGCTGTGGCCAGTGCCGTTGAGAGGTCAAGTGAAATGAAGACTGAGAAATGGCCACTGGGTTTAGCAACATGGGTCACTGTGACATTGACAAGAACAGCTTCAGGGCCCTGGTGGGAGCCTGTCTGGGTAATCTCCATCCTCAAGAGAGAGGAGAGGAGAGGACTTGTTAACTCAGTCTTCATCCTTAAGAGAGGCCAGAGGAGAGGACTGTTAACTCCAGAGCAGACCACTCTCTGGAAGTGTTTTGCTTTGAAAGGGAGCAGGACTGGCCGGGCGCGGTGGCTCACGCCTGTAATCCCAGCACTTTGGGAGGCCGAGGCAGGAGGATCACGAGGTCAGGAGATCAAGACCAGCCTGGCTAACACGGTGAAACCCCATCTCTACTAAAAAAAAAAAAAAATACAAAAAAAAAAAAATTAGCCGGGCGTAGCGGCAGGTGCCTGTAGTCCCAGCTACTCGGGAGGCTGGGGCAGGAGAATGGCGTGAACGCGGAAGGCGGAGCTTGCAGTGAGCCGAGATCGCGCCGCTGCACTGCAGCCTGGGCGACAGAGCAAGACTCCATCTCAAAAAAAAAAAAAGGAAGCAGGATTACAGCCGCAAGAGGATGGATGTGACAGCACGAGGTTAGTTAGTTCTTTAAGGATGGCAGAAATCACAGCATGTTTCATGTTGGTGAAAATGGTCCAACTGAGAAGGGAAAATCAACAATGCAGGAGGCAGGGGGGTAGTTTCTGGAGGTATGTCCTTGCATAAGTGAAAATCACCGAATTTCCCCCAGGCTTCCTCAATTTCTCTAGAGATCTGCTCCAGGTAGACTGAGGCGTCCCAGGGGCTCAGCTTACCTCTGCTGCACACCCCTCAATGAGGTAGCCCTGCCTGGCTCACCTGGGCCTTGTCCAGCAGTCCATACACGGTGAAGATGTTGGTGTCTGGTCTGACCATGACGGCATGGGGTGGCATCTGTGCCAGGTTGCAGGCTGCAAACTGGGACACCTCGGCCCGGGCCCCGTTGGGGCACAGCAGTTCATAGTCCTCTGACCTGAGCTCAGCAGCCCAGGGCTCGGAATTGTGGCCTGAGAGGGGTAAAGCAGTGTGTGGGGGGACGTTCAGGGGAGTGGGGAGAAGTGTAAAGACAGGCTGCTATCCTGGGTCCTCCAAGGCCTTCGCTACAGGGAGGTGGCAACATCTGGCCAGCTCCCCAACCCTTTCCATTCTCCAAGTGCTCTGCTGTGTTACCGGGGTGAAAGAACCCAGTTGTGTTAATGCCATTAGCAGGAGCTGCCATTAGCAGGGAGTAGGGAGTACCTACTATGTGACAAGCACTTTACAAGTGTTGCTTGATCCCCACAACAGTAACGCAGGGCAGGTGGTGGTGTCCCCATTTTACAGGTGAGCAAACTGAGGCTGTTAATCGCTCCTAGGCAGAGAACCCCATCTATGTGTTACATCCTCAAGTCTGAGGGTGGGGTGGCTCCCTGAAGATGGTGGGTGATTGCCCCTAAAGGCTGAAGTTCTCAAATAGAACAGGGCATAGCATCACTTGTGGATGTAAAAGGCAGCTTCAAGGGCCCTTGCTTGCAAAGAATCTCATTCAGGAGGTCTCAGATCGGGCTCGGGAATCTGCATGTTAAACCAGCATCCCAGTGATTCTAAAGCACGCAGTCCCAGGGCTGCCTGAGAAAATGCTGCTCTCAGGAATCACATTCTCGTGTCTCTGCCTTCACTTAGTATCCATCCTCCTCCCATTTCCAGGAAATCCAGGTGGGCCTCCAGGAGAGCTAAAGACAAAGGGAAAGGAGCGGCCCTGGGAGGCGGGTGACTCACTGCAAGTGAACCTTCCAAGGCCTTTCCAGCACCTGCTAGCCGCCCCGACCCCATCCCAGACCACACCGTGCACAGGTCTGGGACCAGGCAGGCCCGCCGGGCTCAGGCAGGAGCACACAGCCCCTCTCTGGGGGAGGGTTCCACGTGTTCTTGCTAGGAGGCTGTGCAGGGGAAGGGTTCAGGGCCTGGAGCCCTCCCTAACTCTGCTGCGGCAAATGGTCCTACCGCCTTGGTGACCCCCATAGGAAGCAAGATCCAAGTTTTGAAATACTGATGTTTTTGGGGTTTTTTTCCCTGCATGTCTTACTTCCCATTGTCCAGTCCCCTCCCCACCGGGCCACAGTTGTGCCTTTCTGGGCTAAGTCTCTAGGAAGAAACATGTTGGGAGTGAGTGGAGAAGACTGGGCCTCCAGCATTTGGGGTTTCAAAGCCTGGGGTGTAGTCAGGGAATGTAGAAAGTACAAGCCTTTGGTGTTGGAGGAAAACAGCCTCTAGGCTTCAGATTCCTTCACGGAGAACAAGAAGAGGGGAAGTGATGTAAGCTGGGGAGGCGTGTGCTGATAGGACCATGCGTGTGCGGGGGTCCCGGAGCACAGCGTCCCTGAGTTCTCTACCCCAGGTGGAGCCCAGGAAGGTGACTCCAGGAAGAAAATTGCCCGTGTGGTGTGTCGGGTGTGCCCTGCCTCGGTGTGGCTTGGGGGTTGCAGAGAGATTTCCTTGCAGGAGGCAGTGACCTGCTCAGGAACACGGACCAGATACTGATTGAACTCATGACCCCATGGAGAGGCTCATGTCACCCCACCTCACACCTTGGCACTACATAAATACCCCTAGAAGGGGGGTCTTTCCAAACCGACTGGGACTGAGTTTCTACCGTTTTGGTGGATTAGTGACTTGAATTCCAGACCAGCGAAGACCGTCATGTATCCAGCACCCCTGGATGTGTGGTCTGAGGTCTGGTCTTACCCTGTGACCCGTGGGGCTCCCAGCTTCCCAGGGGGCACAGCCTTCTAGACTCAGCCTCACTGAGCTGCTGCTCGACCCCAGCCCAGCATGGTGTCTGGATGGTGCTGAGAATGGGGAACAGTCCCCCCGACCTACCTTTGGCCCTGCTCTGGCCCTCACCTACCATTTGTGTTGTCAAAGACGGTCGTGTGCTTGACGAAGGCAACGTCGCCCGCATTCTCCACCAGGCATCTGCCACACAGAGGGCAGGGCAGCCGTCGGCAGGAGGGTCCCAGCCTCTGCACACAGCCCCAGACCGCCAGGCCCCCCGAGTACCTGAAGGCGCCGCTGTTGCCGTAGTACCGCTCCTGGCTGTTGCCCACACACTTGTTGCGGCCCTGCTCGTCCCCAACACACAGCGCACACAGCGAGGAAGGGTAGTTCTTGGGGTTGTTCACGGGCACGCAGCTGGCATTGAAGAACTCGCTCACTGCTGGGGTGGAGGGAAGGGCAATGATGAGGGGCCAGCAGCGGAAAGCATGGCAGGGAGCTGGGCGGGCCGCTCCCCCACAGGTCTGCCCACCCACCTGACCCTACGCTGCAAGGCTGCCTGTCTGCTCTGCTCCCCTCGGCTCTGAGCGGAGTGTCTCCTGGAGGATCTCAGTGGGGGGAACGCAGAGGTTGTCTAGATACAGGAACCCCATCACCGAACACCACCACCCAGCCTTCGCGTGAACTCCCTCAGGGACAGGGAACTCACTACCTCACTATTTCGTTCCAATCAGAGCAGCCGTCCAGCTGTCTGGGAGTAGGAGCTGCCAATCCTAGTGCCCTCCGTGTGCTTGTGTCAGTGGTTAGTAAAAAAGTGCCTGTATGTTTTCTGAGTTAACAGCCAGGACAGAGGTGTCTGGCCTGTCAGCTCAAGGATCTTGCCAGTTTCCATGAATGTTGTGTGATCTAACACACGGAAAAGGCTTCAGGTACCGTATATGGCAGGTGCTTCTGTCCCCAACTTGTGGAGATACCTGGGCACTTATGCAGAAGCCTGGCCACCTTCCAACAAGGGTCCCCTCCAGAGCTGGCTGTGGGACTAACCTTAGAGAAGCTAACCCCAGAGAAGGCTTCCCTCGTCTGCCTTCCTAAAAGGGGGGTACCTGTGAGGACGTTGCAGTCCTTGGGCCGGATGAAGCCTCTCCGAATGAGGGCGCCCACGGGGATATCCCAGCCTGCAGGGCTGCCGAAGCCAGCGTGGCAGGAGCGCTTGCCCCGAAGCTCATCCAAGGTGAAGGCGTGGGAGCTGTCCCGCCTCACCACCGCCACCACGAAGTACG